TCTCCCCTCCCCTCCCTCACCCTCTTCTCCCTCCCTTCCCTCCTCCCTCCTCCCTCTCCCCTCCCCCTTCCCCTCTTCTCCTCCTTCTTCCTTTTTTTTTTCTTTTTTGAGACACGGTCTCCCTGTAGCCTCTGCTGGCCTGGAACTCACAGAGATCTGCCTGCCTCTGCCTCCCAAGTGCTGGGATTAAAGGCATGTGGCACCATGCCCAGCAGGAACATTATTCTTATTTTGAAACATGCTTCTAATAACAAAAACTTAGAAGCAACTTTAAAACTCGCTCATTGGGAAGTGAATAATTGTGGATTTTTTTATATAATGAAGTGATACAGAGTTTTCAGAATTAATTTTCTAGAGGTGAAGATCAACATGTATTCAACTCTGACAAATTCTTGGGACTGTAAGCAAATTGCAAAAGAGCATGTGCAAAATGATATTTTTAGAACATTTTAAAATGTAAAAAATTCCTGTGATATATTGTAGTAAGGTATACCTGAAGGAATGCATGAGAGCAGTCAGCATTGCGTTTGGAATAGTAGAGGTGAAGAAGCGTGGAGGACTGACATGCCCTGTCAGTTGTTTTGGTGTTTGTTAGAGCGGACATGCAGTTGTGCATTGTACTGGTCTTGTAGAAACCTTTTCATATCCTTAAATATGTCATCATAAAAACTTTGAGAAACAATATCAAAAATTCCTCAAACTATTTAAACTGACTTAGTCTTGGTCTTATTTATCTTATTTATCTAAAAAGCTATGGCCTAAAATCTATGATGCAAAGTATTGCCTAAGTCACTGATTCAGGGATCATTTTTCATTTGGATTCTTGAATGGGTTTCCATTCAAGCAATAGTAGAAATGAACTGTACTTCTTTGTAACCATGGACAATTTGACAGTGGTACTTTCACAATTTTTTTTATGATTCAGGGGGAGGATTGATTGGAAGAAAAGGCTACATAGGCACACTGGGGAAAAATGACACCATGATGTGTGTGGTATATGGATGGACTGAAGAGATGGCTTTTTCTGGAACATCCACAGGAGATGTGTGCATTTGGAGAGATGTCTTTCTTGTAAAAACAGTTAAAGCACATGATGGGCCAGTGTTCAGTATGCACGCACTGGAAAAAGTAAGTAATCTAAAGCAATTTCAGTTACATTCCACCTGTGGAGTACAGAGCATCTTAAGAAGTAAAGGAGCTTTGCCCTTCTACTTACCAAGGCTACCCGCGTGTAGTCTGTGCTGGAGTCTTCTTGGCCTTGTTTTGTTCCTTTTTTCAAACCTCTAAATACAATGTGAAATAGGTCTATTGTTTGAAAACAAAAATTTTAAGCTGGGCATAGTGGCAGTTGCCTATAATCCCAGCACTGAAGGGATGAAGGGTGAAGGATCGTAAGTTCAAGGACATCCTCAGATACATAGTGAGTTCAAAACCAGCCTGAGCTTTGTGAGACCCTATCTTAATAAGCAAAACAAACTCATTAAACATGGTAGCTCATGTCTATAATCTTGGCACTCATGAGGATCATAAGTTTGAGGCTATCCTGGTTTATAATCAGAGACTTGTTTAAAAAAAAATTAAAGGAAGGGCTGGTGAGATGGCTCAGCATGTAAAAGTACTTGCTGCACAAGTCTGAGGACTGAGTTCAGTCCCTGAGACCCACAGTGGAAGGAGAGAATCAACTCCTGCTGAAAGTTGCTCTCTGACCTCCACTTACACACCACACATAATAATAATAATAATAATAATAATAATAACAACAACAACAGGATGATTTTGAGTTTAAGAGCATTCTAGGCTACACAGTGAGACTCTGCATTTGTGGAGAACTCTTGCCTAGTGTGTGCAAGGCCCTGGGTTCAAGCTCTAGCAGCACACAGAGAATGATTATAAAACATAAAGGAATTAACAGTCATCTTGCTTCTCAGCCTTCTGCTAAGATCAGGTGGAAAATTCACAGTCATCCTTTAATATCAAATAGTGTGAGCCAGTGTGGTGACATGCCTATAATCCCGGGCCACTAGGACAGGCAGTTATGTGGCCAGGAGTTTGAGGCCAGCCAGTGCTACAAGCAGCAGCAGCAGCAGCAGCAGCAGCAGCAGCTGGGTGTGGTGGCACAAGCCTTTAGTCCCAGACTTGGGAGGCAGAGGCAAGCAGATCTCTGTGAGATGGAGGTCAGCCTGGTTTACATAGCAAGTGCCAGTCCAACAGGAGCTACAGAGAGACCCTGTCTCAAAAAAAAAGAGCAATAGGGGCTGGAGAGATGGCTCAGCAGTTAAGAACAGTGGTTGTTCTTGCAGAAGACCCAGGTTCAAATTCCAGCACCCACATGGCAGCTAACAACTGTTCATAACTCCAGTCCCAGGGGATCTGACAGCCTCTTCTGACCTCTGCAGGCATTGCATGACACGGGTACACTTACCTACATTCAGGCAATACACACACACATAAATTTTTTTTAAAAAGCAATAATAATAATGGAAAAGAACAGTTCAATACATTATGCCCTTACTATGTATCAAGATTATGCTAAGTGCACTACATATAATTATGTCCTGTCAAGTACTGTTGTTTTACTTTTTTCAATATTTTATCATTTAAACATTTTATGTGTATGAGTGTTTTGCCTATATGTATGTAAGTGCACCAGTGTCATACATTGCCCATGGAGGCCAGAAGAGGGCATTGGATCCCCTGGAACTGGAGTTACAGAGGGTTGTTAGCGTCCATGAGGATGCTGGGAACCCAACCTGGGTGTTCTGTAAGAGTAGATGGTGCTCTTAACCACTAAGACATCTCTCTAGCCCCTGTTCTTTCTTTTAAAGGGATAGAGTTGGAGATTTTAAAAGGATATATGTCACTAACTGATCCTACATTAGAAATTTTTTTTGCACCTTATCCTAATAGAATGTTTATTATTACTGTAAATATTTTTGTAGATTCCATGTTGTTTTGAAATTGTAAACATATTTTAATATATGCTTATGCTAATTCCTATTATTATTATTGTTTTGGTCTTTTTGAGACAGGGTTTCCCTGTAGTCCCAGATGGCCTGGAACTCGCTATGTAGACCAGGCTGGCTTCAAACTCACAAAGATCTGCCTGCCTCTGCCTCCCAAGTGCCAGGATTAAAGGCATGCACCACCACACCTGGCCTTAATTCCTATTATTCAAAAGCAATAACTTTTGGATACACTCTTTTCTCTAGAGTTTTTCAATATAAAGAACGTTATTTTTAGTATATCTTGAACTGTACTAATTCAAACATTTATTTTCTTAGGGATTTGTAACTGGAGGAAAAGATGGTGTAGTAGCTCTTTGGGATGACTCTTTTGAAAGATGCCTCAAGACCTATGCTATAAAAAGAGCTGCTTTAGCCCCAGGATCTAAAGGTGGTTTGATATTTAGTTTATTTTTTCAGGAAAAAACGAATTGTTCATTAATATGCTTGATCTCTGAGGTGGAACATGTAAAATACATTTTTCCTTCTTGATGGGCATCAGAATTAAATGGGAGAAATAAATTAACTTGATGCCAGAATCACTACTGTCCTTTCAGAAACCTGTTTTCTCTGACACACATGATAAAGTATTAACTAACTACAGTCTTATCAATTTTTATCATTTTTAACTTTCTAAAGAAAACTTCTGTATGACCATCAGCCCTGTCCAGTCAGCAGCTTGCTTTCAGATTTTGTTTTCCAGCTTAATGTGCTATGCTCTGCCTCTCCAGCCTCACAAGCCCTTCTGCCTTTTCTCTCAGTACATTTCTTCCATTCAGGGTCTATGTCATGTGCTCTCTGACATCCAGGCCTTTCTGCATGCTGTAATTTTCACCTCAGACTTGTTCTCAATTTTACCTCCAGTTGTATAACCATGTTTTCAAATCTCAAACATGCTCTCTCCTAGGATGACTCTGTCCTCACTTCTTCCTCAGAAGGTTAAGTTCCTTTCCTATAGTCTCCATTTTGAATAACCTCCTCACACAGGATCATGCTTACTAATACGTTACTGAGGCTTGCCAGGACATAGTGAACGAAGGACTATATCTTATGTTGAATTGGAACTACTAATCAGAATATTTTAAGAGATCTTAAGAACAGAAGGAAGATGAGGATTTGCTAATATAAAAAGAGATAGTTGTCGGAATAGTAGTAGGGATTTGGGATAGAACTGAATTCTATCTAGTTATGCTTATTTATAGATTAATAAGTGGAATGATTGGAGGAAACATTATTAGAATTATGAAAATGTGAGAAAATAACCTTGTAATGTGATTTCCACTGTCAAAATAGCATCACTGGCAAAGTCTACATTCTTGTGTTATAGTTAACTTCGTACCTACAAGAACATCTCCATTTAACATTTCAGGTCTTCTCTTAGAAGATCACCCATCTATACGTGCCATATCATTAGGACATGGTCATATTTTAGTTGGCACAAAGAATGGTGAAATATTAGAAGTGGATAAAAGTGGCCCAATAACGCTTCTGGTCCAGGTACTTTTAAATACTAATATGCACTTTTATTCCTTTTCAGATGATGTTTTCTTTCACTATATAAGAAACAAAAGATGACAGTGGTGAAAATAATGCCACATTAATTAGGGAAATGTGTCTAATGTTAATATATACATAAAATGATTATAGCTAAATGACTAAAATATGCATATTCTCATAAAATATTTGCCAATATTTTAAGTTTTGTCACAGATTATGAGACCAGTGGAACAAAAAACTAGTTATAATTAGTTTAACCCAGATATTCATTTCATGTTTGATTTTATGTATTTAAAGTATGTTTTTTTTAACATAAGTTACTTGTTTTTTAAAACTCCCTAGTGATGTAATTCTTAAATTTCTAGGTATGATTATATGCTAAAATTATGTTATTGAAAAGACTGGCCTCAAATTCACAGAAATCTACCCGCCTCTGCCCCCTAAGTGCTGGAATTAAAGGTGTGAGTGAAATAAAAACTTGTGTGAACCAGAGTTGTGGTCCTCTCTCGTAAACCTGAACCTATGATCCCTTCTTGTGAGCCAGAGTTGTGGTCCTCTCCTGTGAGCTGGAGTTGTGGTTACCTCCTATAAACCTGGAGTTGTGTTTCCCTCCCATGAGCCAGAGTTGTGGTCCCCTCATGTGAACTTGGAGCTGTGATCCCCTCCCATGAAGGGAAGCTGAGGTCTCCTTCTGTGAGTCGGAGTTGTTGTCTCCTCCTGTAAACCTGGAACTGTGTTCCCTCCTATGTGCTGGAGCTGTGGTCCCCTCCCATGAACTGGAGCTGTGGTCTCCAACTGTGTTCCACATTCTTCCAGTGACGGGCTGATTGTGGAGCAGATTGGAGGATGGAGGCAGCAGTTTCAGTCTTCTGAGTGACTGCATTCCCTATAACCCTCGCCTCTGAGGTCCCAAGTTGTACATGGAAGTGGCTTTTACTCTGTGTTAAACTTATGTTGGGGACAGGAGAGATTTCTGTCATTTGAAGTTTCTAGTCTTAGGAGGACTGATCTGGTCTTCTACAGCCCCAGTGTGCCTTCACCTGTGCCTGCAGAAAATGTAAAGCACCTAATGGAACTTCTAGGTATTATAAAAAGGAACATTAGACAAGGAGTTAGGTAATTGGGCAGTGAAGGGTGATTACATTAAAAATAACAGTGCATCAGGGCCGGGTCTGGTGGTGTATGCCTTTAATCCCAGCACTTGGGAGGCAGAGGCAGGCGGATCTCTGTGAGTTCAAGGCCAGCCTGGTCTACATAGTGAGTTCCAGGACAGCTGGGCCTACGGGGAGGTCCAGACAAACCAGGACTACCTTGCAAAACCCTGTCTCAAAGTAAGAAAGAAAGAGACCGGGAGAGAGAGGGAAGAATGTAAGGTCAGTCCTATACTTAATATTATATTTAAAGGTGGAAAACGAAAAACTTTCCCTAGATTGGGAACCAAACAAGCATGTCTGTTCTCATCACCTATATTCAACTTTGTACTGGAAGTTTTAGCCAGGGCAACTGAGCAAGATGAAGAAACAACAACCATCCAGATTGGACAACAGGAAGTGAAACAGGAAGTGACAGGATCTTATACACAGAAAAATCATAAAGAACTTACCACAAGCCTATTAGAACTAGTAAATGAAATCAGCAAGTTACAGGACCTAACAGTCAAACCAACTGTATTTCTATACATTAGCAAAGAACAATCCAAAAACTAAATGAGAAAACAATTCTGTTTACAATAGCATCAAAAGGAATAGAAATAAACTAAACACTTATCTGTATTTGATGAGTTGTGGAACTGTTAGGTATACACACTCTCATACTTTTAATTAACATAATTTTGTGTTATCTATATTTCTGGCATGGAGAGTTCTTCCATGCTTTTTCACTATTCTTATTTTCTTTCACAGATTTATTTTTTTAAGTCTAGATTTTGTGAGAAAAAAACACATTAAAGTTTGGCTTGTAATCATACTGGATTTACCATTTAATCAAGTCTTTTCTATCTTCAGTAAGATTTTAAAATTTTCTTAGCGCAGGTCTTGCATATTTTAACTATAAATTTCCTGGTTACTAAAGCAGCTGGTAAAAGTGCATGCTGCCAAGCCTGACAAGCTGTGAGAACCCACATGGTGGGAGGAGAGAACTGATCCCCACAAGTTGTCCTCTGACTTCCACATGTATACCTAGGCATTCATCCCCCCAAATGTCAATAAACAAATGTAAAAGAAGCACAAAAATAAAAATCCTGGTCATTGTATTTTCTTTTGTGTATCATATGTCATATTTGTTATTATTGCTGCTATACAGAAATGTTACTGATTTTTGTATGTTCATTTTTCAACTCACCCATTACATAGGTCCTCAATCAGTTCTAATAATTGTCAGTTTACTCTCTTGCTATTCAAGGTATACATCTAAAAATACTGTCCATTTATTTCCAACAATTACACCTTTTGTGGATTTGTTTCACAAGGTTGGACAATAACACCCAAGGCAAGGCTACCATGAATCCCAATGTGGAGAAGATAAAAAGACACTAACAACTTCTTCACCTATAGTAAGCATCAAAAATAATAGGACACAGGTCAGGCAGGGTGGTGCATGCCTTTAATTCCAGCACTTGGGAGCCAGGTGGATCTCTGGTCTATCTGGTGAGTTCCAAGTCAGCTGGGACTATAGGGGAAGACCTTCTCTCAAAAAACCCCCAAATAATAGTACTGATGATGATGACAACAACAGGATGTGCTAGGGATGTGACTCAGTGGTAGAATTTGTACATGAGGCCCTGGTGAAATTTCCTAGCACTGTTTTTTTTTGTTGTTTGTTTTGGGGTTTTTTTGGGGGGGGTCTTTTTGAGACAGGGTCTCCCTATAGCTCCAGCTGCCTGGAACTCACTCTGTAGACCAGGCTGGCCTTGAACTCACAGAGGATCCATCCACCTGCCTCCTGAGTGCTGGGATAAAAGGTGTGCACCACCATGCCCGGCATCTAGCACTGTTTTTTAAAGGAAGTATTTAAATCAGTTGTAGCTGGGAGGCTCCTTAGGACAGCATCCATGCTTCAGGTACTTTAATGTTAGCAACCTGAGAGCCAAAGTGAACATTGAACTGAAACTCAGTGTTTCACCAACCAGAAGCCATCCATTGGCTTCTAATTAAAGAATGAGCCAATCAGAAACTTCCGAGTGACCTCTAGTCAAAGTAAGCCATTCTAACCAACCAACCAGATCTGTCTTTGGCATTCAGCTGTTAGAGCTTGCTGTCCATGCTACAGTAGATCTCCATAACCCTATTCTGATTTTGAGTGCTGTCCAATGTACGAATGCTTTAATGCTCTAATGAAGTCTATTCATTTTGTCTATTTTTTTTCTTTTTAAAGAATAATGACTTCAAAATCCTTTTTCACAATTATGAAATTTTAAAATAAAACTCTGCATGAATCTCTAAACAGTACTTGTAGTAAAACTTTCTGAGCACGCATAAGCAGGTTGAGTATCACATCTACGAGATGTGGCAGTGAATGTCTGAAAGAGGAAGATCGTGAGTTTAAGGCACAATACACACACACACACACACACACACACACACACACATACACACACCAGAAACTCCACAATGACTCCCTGATGATTTTACTTCAAAGGCATGTTATATAGGTGAAATTAGTAAGATATCATTAACATACATTTTTGTCATTTCCATATAGAGTCTCACCATAAGGATCTTTTTTTAAAAAATATTTATTATTTTTATTTTATGTGTATGAGGGTTATGCCTGCATGTAAGTAAGTGCACCCATGTCGTGCAATGCCCACGGAGGACAGAGGAGGCTGTCGGATCCCCTGGAACCGGAGTTACAGACAGTTGTTAGCTGTCATGTGGGTGCTGGGATTCAAACCTGGGTCTTCTGCAAGAACAATCAGTGTTCTTAACTGCTGAGCCATCTCTCCAGCCCCCACCATAAGGATCTTAATAATGAAGCATGTACAACCGTCTCATCTAGTTGCTCTCTGGTTCCTAACAAGAGTGAAGCAGAGGATAAAAAAACTATGTCTGTATTAAGAAAAAAATAGATCCAGGATGCACAGGCAGGAGGATCTCTGTGAGCTCAAGGATAACCTGGTCTACACAGTGAGTTCCTGGCCAGCCAGGGCTACACAACAAGACTCTATCTCAAAAAAATTATTTTTCAGAATAAAAGGTAAACCAAAGTTTGATATTACTATGAAGAATTGCACAAGGACAACTCTTTATCAGGATAAGTCTTACCTCTATGTGTGTGTGTGTGTGTGTGTGTGTGTGTGTTTCTGTATTGCATAGTACTGATTTATTTCTGTCTCTACTTTTTGGAAAGCAGAATACACTGAAGAAATGTACATATAAAACTCAAATTCACCATTCTTGGAAATGCTAAGGATTACGTGGCTAGTAGCTGTTGTTGCTATTTTGTTTTATATTTCTGCCACACAAACGTCTTTATTTCATGCCTTTAATCCCAGCACTTGGGAGGCAGAAGTAGGTGGATCTCTGTGACTTTAAGGACAGCCTTTTCAGTAATATAATTTTAGTATACGGTATTTAGTACTACAAATTTAGTACAGATTTAGTGTACTCCTTTTTCATTTTTGTAACCTAGAAATTTAAGAATTATTCCACTAAGGAGTTTTAAAAACTATTTTTATTATTTAATTGAGAATTTCATACATGGATGCACTGTACTTTTTTTTTTTTTAAGCCTGGCCTTGAATTTGCAGCTAACCTCCTGCCTCAGCTTCCTGAGTGGTGGCAGTATAGGCATATGCCATCAAGTTTGGCTAACTGTAGGTTTTTCCTAGATGCTCTTTATGAAGATGGGGAATTAAAGTTTAATTCCTAGTTCATTGAGGGGTTTTAATCATGGGTCAGGAGGCATTTTTCAAATGCATTTTCTGTTTATTGAGATATTATGGTGGTTTTGATTTTCACTGTTGATGGTGTTATTGCATTAATTGATTTTTGAGTATCACAACCTAGTATTCCTGGTGGCAGTGTATAATTATTTTTACATGTGTTGGATTCAGTTTGCTAATATTTCATAAAGGATTTTAGTACTCTGGGTTAGAAGAGATGTTGCTCTGTATTTCTTTTCTTGTCTGGTTTTGGTGTCAGGCCTTATAAATGATTTGGAAAGTATTGCATTCTCTTTGTCTCTTGACTTAACCATAGAGCTGTTAACTTCTCATAATTGCTAGTTACTCTATGGCTTTCAACATTTCCCTGGAATATAAATTGTTCCATGTACTAAACCAGTCAAATTCAAGCTCCTTTGAAGGGGCAGCTTCCTTGGTTAGCAGTTGAGGATGGCTTTGACTCCTAACAGGATTCTCCCAGCTGTTTCTGAGATTTCTTTGACTTACTGGGTAAACTGGTCTGTGTTTAGACTAACATATCATTTGAGTTTAATAAACTTCTTCCAATTACCCTTCATCACAGCCTTCACTGTTACTTGAGAGCACACTTAGGTATAATTTTTTTTTTCCACATTCTGCTGTAAAGCCAGTTTCTCTTAGAAGAGATTAGGAACTATCTCTGACTTGTTTCTAAAACCATGAGGCAAAATCTCAAGAGTCAGGACACTGAAGTTGATTGTAGGATTAGTAGAAGGTTTCTGAGTGTCCCAGGCTTTAGGAGCTGAGTGCTTATAGTAGAAGAAGGGGAGCATAATCTCAGGTCTTCTTGAGCTCCACCAGGGCTCCATTATTCTCAGTGGCACTGCCCTCATGGTAGACTTGCCATCTGGAATAGGGGCTGTGAAAATGGAGCATCTACCTGTCAGCTGTGCTGAACAAAAATTTATCCCCCAGTAGGCCGCCAGGCAGGATAAACTGATAGCCTGCTCTTAGGAAGATGATTCTCCAACCAGGAGCTGGGGAGAAAGCCAGGTGTTCTTGGTTGCATGAGTCTATGATGTTTTCCATGTGGCAGAGTTATGACGAGAGGAGGGACTGGAGTTCAGTACATATACCATCACTGTCTAACCAAATTTTAGCAGGTTTTCTTTAATAAATTTTCATTTATTGTATCGCCTTGAAACCATTTCAAGTCTTTAGATTATTTAATTTGAATTTTCTTATCATCAGTGTCACTAGTGAGCAGGAGCTGCTGGCTCTCTTGCATGCATTTTCAGGTTAAGCAGACCTTAACTGTCCAGTTTTCTTTATAGGGACACATGGAAGGAGAGGTGTGGGGTTTGGCTACACATCCTCATCTGCCCATCTGTGCTACTGTAAGTGATGATAAAACCTTAAGAATATGGGATCTCTCTCCTAGTCACTGTATGTTGGCTGTCCGGAAACTGAAAAAGGGTAAGAGACTCTCAGACATCAACAAAGACTAAGTTGTCACAACTTGCTAACATTCACAAATAGCCTTGGAGTTTCTATTGTAAAGGTTTGTTGAAAATTCTTTCCATTTCTTTGGTCCGAGCCCGTGACACACCAAGGGCAGGGTCATGGGAATGATCCAGGGCAGACTGATTTTTATTCATATTTATTATTGTTGTTTAAATTCTCTTGTAACAGTGTAATGCTGCTTGGAGTGAACTTTTGCCCTCACCTATTGAATAATGTGAACATTTTTTAATATTTTATTCTTTTTTGTGGCTGTGTTACAATAAAACTTTATTGATAAGTGACACCCAAGTTTGAATTCACATAATTTTCATCCTTTTACTTTTTCCAGCATTTTAAAGATGTAGGTGCTGGGAGTGCAGCTCAGTAGCAGGAAACCTTGGGTTTCACCCCAACACTATGAAAGAAAATGGAGGGAGGGAGAAGGGAAGGAAGGAAGGAGGGAAGAAGGGAGGGAGGGAGGGAGGGAGGGAGGGAGGAAGGAAGGGAGGAAGGAAGGAAGGAAGGAAGGAAGGAAGGAAGGAAGGAAGGAAGGAAGGAAAGGGAGGGAGGGAGGGAAACCCCTTCTTGGCTCATGGACTGTACAGACAGGGAAACAGGAACAAGATTTACCAGCAGACTGTCTGAACCATTCTGATCCTCCTGTGTCCTGCTCCTGAAGTCTCGGACTACAGGCACGTGACACTATACCTAGTTTATGTGTTGCTGAGCCCCAGGGCTTCATGCATGCTAGGCAGGCACTCTGCAACTGAGCCACATCCCTCCCTAGCCCCATCAGAGTCTCACTACAGTCTAGCCTGGAACATACTACTTAACCCAGAATCACTTCAAAGCCCCAAACCTGCCTCTCGACTACCAGCATAAGGAACCTCCGTGAGACCTCACTTTACTTCATTTTCCTTTCTGTGTCAGTAGCCCCACGCTGCTGGTGGCTACTATCCCTAATCACATAGTACCCAAGTCCCCCGTCACAAGCATGGGACCTGGACAGTCACTCAGTGTGCCTGATCTTCACAGTTCTCAGTCTGTAAAATGAGAAGAGCTGGTCTCCTAGGCCACAGTGCTGGACTAGTTCCACTGTGTGACTGCTGGTGGTGCTGCTGTTCCAGTGGGTACCTGGAATCAGACAGATCAAATCCAGGTCTCCAGGTTTCCATGCACGCACACGTCCACACCTCTAACTGCCGGTGTACTCGGACCAGCTCCCCAGCCGACTGCAGCAGCTACACTCACCCTGATATTTTACTCTTATTAGTGAATATTAATAGTTCTTCTGGAGTTATGTTTTAAAGGTGGTATTTGGGTTCCACTGCTCTTGCACTTTCTCCTATAGTTCTGTAGTTCAGACTGTGCATGTATCTGGGTTGGCTTTCACTCATTCTGTTTTGTACTTCCTGAATCGGTGGCCCTTTATCTTACAGTAGTATTGAAAAATTGTCTAACAGTGTTAGTGGCTCCTACCAGGACTACGTCTTTGCCTTACTTGCAGGCGAATTTCGTGATTATGTATTTTTTGTTTTAAATAGTCTTACGTGGTTATCTTTATTTCTGTTTGTTCATCATTGACTCAAGAGGAAAATAAGTAGGAAAAAAGGAAACAAAAACTGTTTTCCTAATTTGAAGGGGATATTTGTGAATTTTATAATTAGTTGAGTTAGTACAACAAGATCACTGAGGTCATACTAAGTTAAATATGAGTCACAGTTTAAGTTGACTATCATAAAAAAATTTCTGACAAATTACTCAATTTTTTAAAATTTATTATTTTTATGTGTATGAGTGTATTGGCTGCATGTATGTGAGTGCACCCGTGTTGTGCAGTGCTGCGGAGGTCAGAAGAGGGCTTCAGATTCCCCTGGAACTGGTTAAGGACAGTTCATAGCCACCATGTGGGTGCTGGGAATCGAACCCAGGTCCTCTGCAAGAGCAGTTAATGCTCTTAACCACTGAGCCATCTCTCCAGTCCCCAAATGACTCAATTTTATAGCAATCAGAATAAACATAAGTGTAACTATGCAACATAGAGTAATGCTTATAGTCTTAATGTCTGAAAAGTAAATATTTTGTAAATATTTACCAGGATTTTGCACTTCTTTTTTTTAATGACACATTGGAATGTTCCTATTAACAGCTTGTATTCAGCTGGCATGCTGGTGTGAGCTTGCAGTCCCAGCAGAGGCTGGATGATTCCAAGTTTCAAGTCACCCTGGGCTACATACCTTAAAAACAAAAAACAAGACAAAAATCTCTTTTAGTTTTTATTGTGATCAGTTCTGGACTCCTGGAATTTCTGGCTTTTCGTTTTGTTTTTAATTTTTATTTTTATTTTATGTGTATATGTGTGTTGCCTGCATGTAGGTCAGTGCACCTGCAGTGCCCGTGGAGGTCAGAAGAGGCTGTTGGATCCCCTGGGACTGGAGTTACAGACAGTTGTTAGCTGCCATGTGGGTACTGGGTTTCGAACCCGGGTCTTCTGCAAGAACAACCAGTGTTCTTAACCACTGAACCATCTCTCCAGCACTATGAATTTCTGTTTTTAAATTGCGGTTTTTTCATGTCTTTGCTCATTTCATGTTTTTGTGCCTCTTTGTTTAGCATCTACATCTGTAGCCTCTTCAGATCTTTATTCTCATTCTTAACTCTCTTCATAGCAGCTCTTTTGCATCTGCTGTTTAATCCATCTATTAGCTAATAATTGTTGCTTGTAAAAGTTTTGTCTATTTAAATGTCAGAGATTTTTAAAAATATCCTACCATTCCTTGTTTATATTTTAGATGTCTTCTTTATGCCTTTAATCTTAACTGTACTTATGAAACAAAAAATGTAAGGTCTATGTGACAGGTCCAGGGATTGACTATGAACTTGTCTGTTTTTTCTGCTGACTTCCTCCTACTGTTCCTTTCTTCTGATGTGCTTTAAACTTTGGATTGCAAATTCGTGTTTGGTTGGCCTTTCTTTACCTGTAGAATCCACTGAGGTGTGCACTTTTCAGAGAGATTGTTTCCTTGTGGGATTTTTTATGGTGGAGGTGCTACCATTCAGAACACTAAAAATTGATTTCTTTAACTGGGATGGCATAGATCACATAATTAGTATAAATTCAAGTCAAAGTTCAGCATAAGCCACCTACCCATGTTGATGAATTCTCAACTAGGATGACTTCCCCCTCCATCTCAAATCCAAGACGAGGACAGACAAGATCTAATGTCTTTATTTCTAGCCACACATAAGTGTTTTCCAAAGTCTTTTCTTCCCTTGAGATATGATTATAATGCTGAACCAAAATGATAATATAGGGCTGGAGAGATGGCTTAGCAGGTAAAGGTACTTGCTGCCAAGTCTGACAACCTGACTTCAATTCCAAGAACCCACATGGTGGAAAGAGAGAACTGACTTAAGTTCTCTGACCGCCACACACTATTCACAGCACATGTGGAAGCATGTGCATGTGTGCACACACATGCACACATAAAATAAATAAATGTAATTTTTTAATGATATGGTATTTGGAGGATTTTTGCTAGCCGCCTTCCCAACAAAGTACATGCAATTAAATACCTCTGTTTTATTTCTTAAGGGATTTAGATTTTGTATTTGTAAATTAAAGCACTTAAAGTAGAAATCAGTTAAACTAATATTTTTTACACTTAATTTTTTTTCTTTCTTTTTGAGACAGGGTATCCCTGTAGCTCCAGCTGGCCTGGAACTCTCTAATGTAGACCAGGTTGGCCTCGATCTCACAGAAATACACCTGCATCTGCCTCCTGAGTGCTGGGATTAAAGGCATGTACCACCATGCCTTTAGATTGTTCCCAAAAGAAGTGCAAATGGTCAATAAATACTCGTAAAAAGTGTTCTATATCCTCAGGTAAAAGAGAAATGCAAATTAAAGCTGCTTAAGATTCCTTCTCATCCCACACAATCACTGTCATGAAAAATGGCAACAAACACTGGTCAGGATGGGAAAGAGGAAGCTATATTCACTGCTGGTGGGAACATGAACTTGTATACCCACTGTGGAAACCATAGAGGCTCCTCAAAGAACTAAAGTAGAGCTATCCTGTGACCTAACTGTACCACTCTGGGGTATATGACCAAAGATCTCTTAAGTCATTATGCCACAGAGATGCTTGTACATCCATGTTCATAACTACACTAGTCACAACAGACAAGAAATGGAACCAGCCTGATATCTATCAACAGGTGAATAAAAAAATATTACACATATACTGGGATTTTATGTAGCTATAGAGAAAAATGAAGTCCACGACGTTCGCAGGAAAACTGATACAACTGTAAGTCATTATGTTAAGCACAATAAACCAGATGCAAAAACACAACTCTGTCCTCAAAAGGAAGATAGTTTATTCTAGAGCCAAATATGTGTGACCATGGCCCAGCAACACAGATTTAGGTTACCCCAAATGCTATTTTCTAACATGATAATAGCTCCATGAAAATTTTATAGTAACAGAAGAAGTCATAAATGAAGACATTTTTCAAATACATTGATAGAAACATTAATTAGGCAGTTATAGCAAAGATGGGAAATTTCAGCTATAGGCCTCAGATGCTGATGGCACTCTTCGCCTTTTGATTAGTAGAAACCAGGGTTTTAAGTTAATACATCCCAAAGGGTTTTTATCTGTTAGTCACAGGATGTTAGGTTCCACACAGAGGTAAGAAGGAATGGCTATGTAGGGGGATTAAAGCTAGTCCAAGATAAATTGTAATTAGGCTCAGGACCTGTATCATCCAAACTCTCCATAATCATTGAAATTCTAACCAGTTAATCAGCCTTGCAGAAGGTTCAGTTTGAAGATGGAGATTTCTTTGTGGCAGTTTGTTCACACTCATCTGTAGGACCTAGATTTAAAAGAGTGTGTGTGTGTGTGTATTTAGATATGTGTGCCTGTAGGTCATGAAACTATCAAGGAGATCATGAGAGGGAGGGAAAGATCTTGAGGATGAGGGAATTCGAGAGGATGCACGAGAGACTGCATGAAACAGGAAAGCAGAAGCTGACCACCTAAGAACTGGTTGCTGCTCTATAAATGCTCGTGTGGCCAGCATCTCTCACAGCACACTTTCTTGTAATCATCGTTGTCAAAAGGCAGCAGCCTCTGGGGCTCCCCAAGGCTTTAGCAAAAGTTCATCACACAGTCAACAGCAGGAGATAACTTGACTAATTGTGGTGCTTGTGTGTGCTTTTAGTTACTGATAGAATTTTATTTCCTGTTGGCAAGCACTCACATTGTGCTCAGCCCGAAAGTTATGAAGTGATAATTACTAAAAGGTAATTACTAAAAGGCATAGCGGAAAATTCAGAGGGGTATAAAAATAGCAATTGAAGAAAGCAGAGATCCCTGTAGGGGCAATGGACAGTGAACTTAAGGGAAGGCCTCTTTCTAGGAGAAGGCCTCAGTGCCACTATACACTGTGCCTCCTGCCAACGGTAAAGGAATTTTCCAGAAGATGTGGGCCACAGCTACTCTAGGAAATCCTCTGCTATGATGACAGACATCCATCTCACACACCAGCCCCTAAGAATTTATCTGTTGGCTCCAGCACTCTAAAGAAGGAAGCACATTTCCTCCCTTCAGGTTTTTTCCTTTTTTTTTTTTTTTGGTCTTTTTGAGACAGGGTCTCCCTGTAGCCCTAGCTGGCCTGGATTCGCTATGGAGACCAGGCTGGCCTCGAACTCACAGAGATCTGCCTGCCTCTGCCTCCCGAGTGCTGGGATTCCCTTCAGTTTTGACCTTACAGTTACCTTCCTGCAAAATCAGGGACCACATTAGTGAGGAAGGGATTAAGCTATAGGAAGAATGGTTTATTGAGTATGCTGCAAAGTGGGACAGACTGGGCAGTAACTAATGTACCATCTACAGCATAAAGCTACAGGCTGTGTACGGTCTCCATTTTGGAGAAGTACTGTTAGAGCTAAGGTGAGCTTCTTTGTGTGCAGTTTCCTGGCGTTTAATTCATTCCATGTGAAGGAGGACAGTCCATATTGGCCAGTGTACAGTTTGGAGAGACTAGTGTGAGCCCCATTATGCATATTATCTAGTTATGCCATCTCTGACATGCAAATACAGGCCATGCAAATCAGAATCATGATATTATAAGAGCAGTTTTGCTCAATCAGACTTCAGTCCTGGTCACAGGCTCAGGTCTGTCCTGGAAAGTAGCACTTCAGGATTTCTGGACCATACATAACGAAAGTTTCCTAAGGGGGCCCCTCTGCTTATCTGCAGCCTTTTACTAATGGCTTTCCCTCCACAGTACCTTTCTTGGCCAAAATCAGGTTGGCTGACAAAAGAAAAGTTTCTGTATAGTGTAGTTTCAATCTCATAGCCAGAAAAAGAAGGGTGGAGCTGGTTGGTAATGTTAATAACAAATTGTTACCCAGATTCTGGGCTATAACTACCATCTGTATACTACCATCTCCCATGTTTGTCTTTGTAGCTGTCCTCCCTTGAGCTCCAGAGAGGTATTACTGTGCCACACTAGCTTTTCTTCCTGTTTTCCATTCAATGTCCTTTAGGTGTGTTTAACTGAAGGGGTTCAGAACACTTGTGTTTATCTCAGTAAATGGCCTCACTATTCAAGGAGAGACACCGTCTAGACTTCTGCCTTTGTCTCTTCCTCCACAGCCACTCAGTCAAGTCCATCTCCATGTTTGTCCGCTGCTGCCTCCCTGCTCTCATCACCTTTGTTTCTTGGCTCTCAAATCTCAGAAAGCACTTTCCAGGTTTCATTGCCAATGTCTGCTTAGTAATTAGATGATTATTCAAGTCAGTCTGATTTTTCATTCTGTAGCAGATTTACCCTGACATCCTTTAGATCAGGAAAGTACTGAAAGCCTTAGTGTTTTTGGCTACGCTTGCTGTATCTCTTGATGTCAGGGTAAGCCTATTATTATTTTAATTTATCAATGTAGTTCTGACCCCTTTAAAAATTAATAGTAGCTCTGGGCATGGTGGCACATGCCTTTAATCCCAGCACTTGGGAGGCAGAGGCAGGTGGATATCTGAGTTCAAGGCCAGCCTAGTCTACATAGTGAGTTCCAGGCCAGCTGGGGCTACAGGGAAACCTTGTCTCAAAAAGATGAAAAAAAATTAATACTAGCATCATTAATAATTAATGATATCTTTTACATGTAGTTTTGAAACATATTCCTAGATTAAACCAATAATTGCCTTCTGTCAGATTTTTTTTTTAAATTGCTAAAGCATTTTCATAAAGATGACCTCAGTCTTGAAGTTTCTGACCGGATAGGACATGCCAAGGTAGCACTCTTCTCCCTCCCATCCAGCCTTCTGCTCAGTCTTCAGCTTTTTGTTAGTTAAATTCTCATTATTTTTCTTTAATTTTGTTAAGATAAATGTATCAGTATATTTTTATTAAGTTTAGAAGTGAGTTTGTTTTATCAGACTCTCCTGACTCCTTTCTTTTTGTTGTTGATTTGAAGCTATACTAAATACAGGCATCATTTTTAATATTAAAGGTTCATTAAGCACATACTTTTTTTTTTTTTTGGTCTTTTTGAGACAGGGTCTCCCTGTAGCCCCAGCTGTCCTGGAACTCACTATGTAGACCAGGTTGGCCTTGAACTCACAGAGATCTGCCTGCCTCTGCCTCCCGAGTGCTGGGATTAAAGGCGTGCGCCACCATGCCAGGTTCATAAAGCACATAACTTTTAAAACATGAAAGAACATTCCCTGATGTTTTCTTTCTCTTTCAGGTGGAAGGTGTTGCTGTTTTTCTCCTGATGGAAAAGCTTTAGCTGTAGGTCTCAATGATGGAAGTTTCTTAATGGCAAATGCAGATACTCTAGAAGATCTTGTGTCTTTTCACCACAGAAAAGATGTTATTTCAGATATCCAGTTTTCACCTGGTGAGAGTCCATTGAAATTGTACTTGATTATTAACTTCAGGCTGGCAGTGAGTAATGTATCAATGTGCAAGTTTCCTCAACTTATTTTGCCAGAATTTTAACTTATTTAACAGAATTTTACTCTGTGTGCATGTGCATGCATGCATGTGTTTGTATGTTTATGGTGTATAGGAACACGTCGGGGGAGGGTGGTGCTGGCAGTGGTCAGAGGAGGCCAGGTGTTCTGCTCCATCGCTCTGTACCTTATTCCTCTGAGACAAGTTCTCTCGCAGAACCTGCAACTAGGCTGGCCAGCAAGCCCAGTGATCCAGCTGTCTACCCACACAGTGCTGGGGTCACAGCGTATAGCCGTGCCTAGCTTTCTGTGTGGGTGCTGAGATCCAAACTTAAGTCCTCCAGTTTGTGCAGCCAGCGTTCTTACCACTGATCATCTCTCTTGCTGCAGAATTTTACTTTTTGACTAGTCAGTATGGTAAGGTATAAAAGTCCTGCACCTAAGAAATGCAAATACTTTGCTAGTGTTAATCATTGTGCACTAATTTTCCAAATGACTCAGACCAGAGCACTTGTCTGAACTTCAGTTTTTATGTTTGTACCATAAAAGGGTCAGATGACTGTTTTATGATATATTTACTTCCGAAATTGCATGAATATTGTGCCATCAGTTTCTTTGATTCATTATTTACTACAGGACCTAATGCAATGAAGAAATTACTAATGTTTAGACAAAAATTTCTTCTGATGGTTTAGTTCCATTACTTTTCTAAAGTTAGATTTTTTGGAGAAGATTAATTATATCAAAATCAGACCTCATATAAGTCTTTAAAATTTGTTCTCACTGAAGTAACGTGTTGCATTAAGAAAATTTACTTCAGGGGCTGGAGAGATGGCTCAGTGGTTAAGAGCACTGACTGCTCTTGCAGAGGATCCAGGTTCGATTCCCAG